GGAAAAGAAAAAAAAGAGGGGAAAAGAAAAAAAAGAAAGAGAAAGAAAAAGTAACTCCCTCCTTCATCCCAGGAGGGATGTTTTAACAGCTTATCACTGTCTCTAAATAAAGCATCATCTCCCTTCTCCCCATAACTCATCTCTTAAGAAGAAGAGGAATTTCTTTGCACGATTTCGCTTTAACAGTTTTATACAACGGATCTTCATCTTTGAGGGGAGCAGCCTCACATTTCCTCACCGCCGGGTCCAGAAATAATCAGAGAGGTCACTTGCTTGTGGCTTTTGCTGCTTCCCTGCCAGTTTCTCTGTTCTGGTCAGTTTCAGTCCCTTCCTCTGGAGTAAGAGGTTTAGATAGGGGACCAGCAGCTAGTCCGTTTCACTTCTCTCCATCTACTGGACCTAGTTAGCTGCACAATCGTGGGAGGTGGTGGGGTGGGCTGTGTCTTCTTCCTCCCTAGAGTTCCTCTTGCCCTGGGGTCTTCCCAAACCTTTCTTTATTTCATGTTATTTTGGGAGATGCCCAAAAGAAGCACAGAGGGGAGGCAGACAAAACAGCCTAAAGAGGCCCAGACCAGAGTTCCTAAATTCAGGCCTTCTGGATTCCAATTCTCTCAGCCTTTCTTTCACACCGTTCCCCACTGCCACATAGATGGTCTCAGGCGTCGTCTTCTAAGGCCTTTTAAACATATACGCCTGTCCAGAAATTCTACCTGGTCTGGGCTCAGAAGCGTAGGAGATTGGAAAGGGATGGGAGACCACTAGGAAGTCTCCCAGTGGTAGACTTACCTGGGAAACGGAAAAAGAAATCACCTTGGAAGATGGCAGCAGTAAACCCCTTCCATGCTGTTTCCATCATTCCCTGAGGCTGGGCTTTTTAAGGGACCTGGAGTTAAACTCCACTCAGGGTTGGGTGTGCGTTGACTTGTATCCTTTTCCCATGATTTTAGCCCATTGAAAACGTTTCTTGCCAGTCTCGGTGGAAGCCTTTAAGGAGTCCCTGATAAATATTTCATGCGCGTACGCCTAAATGGATAAAAACAAGCAATATCCAAGCTGTCCAGCCTGGAGGGCAATAAAAAAAATCTGATTTGTCCTCCCGCCAGTGCCTGGGCTCCTCAGCTTTAACGCCAACCCCTTTTCAATGTGCCCGCTTCTTCCTCCTACAGGCACCCATCCTCTTAAGCTCGGCGTCTGGGTATTTCTGTGTTCTGTCTTGTTTCTCAGGGGCTCGGCTGTTTTCCCCCAAGCCTCTGAGGGTGGAGGTGGCTCCATTATTTCTGCGCAGGCAAGCCCGACAGCTATCGTTCGAGCGAGGCCCAGATGTGGAAAAGGAGCCAGATGTTGACGCTGACGATGCTAGGGGTTAGCAATGCTTGGCAGGGAGAGTTAGACGGAGGATGGTTATGTATGACTTCTTCCAGCCCAAGGGCTTTGAAGGAACACTGTCTTCTCATGTCAAGTCAACTTTCAAAGGTGAAATTTAATTTCACCAGCTTTGGTTGCCTTCTCAAGCTGACTCTCTCCTTTTCCTTTCTTCAGATGCCAGTGGTTTCTCCTATGGCACAAGGGGGAAGGCGGGTGAATTCCCAGTGGTGATTAATACCAACAGATGCTGGAACCTTGTCCTCATGGCCTCCACTGACTCCCTTGGAGGAATGGATCAGCTTCTCTTACTCAACTTATCCCAGGTAGCCGAAGGTACAAAGACTGGTTTTGCATCCTTGACTACTCGCTCTTCAAAGCCCTGAGAAATGGTGTCAGGGCTGGAAAGACTTCAGAATTTCTCGGACCGGAATGATGCATCATGCAAACTTCAGAGAGAAACTACACCTCCCTTTTCTTCTTCCTTCAAACCACAGTTTCTGGAGCAAAGCCCAGGCTGCTGTATGCCAGGTGCCCCCAACCCTAGAACTGGGGAGCGAGACCTCATGAGACCTGCAATGCTGCTTTCCCCTTGTAACTCCATCCCCCTCCTCAATATTGTTTCTGAGATGGCATCAAACTCATGTAAGAGCCCCGCCAGAATAAGAGAACCCAACTTTGCAACAACAGACTGAAAACTGAGAAAGCCCTCCTGTGGGGCTTTAAACAAGAGCACCACGGGCCCTTTCAAAAGGATGAAAAAGTAGAGTCGTGAGTCAACACAACTGCCAGATCAACTGCAGAAGGAAAAGGCTGTTTTTGGACTTCACAGCCGCTGGCAAAGTCTGGGGCTGCTTCATCGTGGAAGGATGGAGAGGAACATGGAGTGGTGTGAAGAAAAATGCCAGCTGGACAAGTCCCTGTTGCAGAACTGGAGCTGGAGGACAGGTTGGGATTAATTTTTTTTTTATGCATTTATTTAAAATTGCACCCATACCATTTTTCTCTTTTAAAAAAAACCCTAAAGCTGCATTTGGCCCAGAATGTTTGGCCAGTTTAGCTCCAGATTTAACAGCTGCTTTTGCCCAATTTACTCTACTGGCTTCATTTTAATCTTGGTTAATAGGAAGGTGTGCTGCGAGGGCTTATGGCGTCCTGGAAACCCAGCCTGTGTGGTTCTTCAATGAGCCAATGGGTTGTGTGAATCTAGAAAATGGGTGACTTCAGTAACCAGGCTAAATATGTTGTGAGAACATGGCCAACGTTTTCACAACTTGACACTGGAAAAAGCAGGCTTCTACTCTACACAACCTCACATTTTAATTGGGCTTCTACTCCTTGGAACATCTCTTTTTTTCCCCGTTGTTGTTTCATCACCAATTTCTATGGGAGAGAAATTAGTTGAGACAGGCTGGTGATTTCAGAAGGGGGGGGGCTATATTCCAGCAGATCAAAGGGCCCCTTTACCCTACCTCTGGTGTGCTCTATTATAGGTCTTAAGTCCTGGCAGAATGGGGGGGCTACAGCTGAATTGCAAAATTCCTATTTCCTGCATTGCCAGGTGGGAGTGGGAAAAAAATTGGGGTCAGGGGGGTCTACTTGGTATAAAGCAAGAAGATTCCAGTTTCACACAGCTCTTTATGCAAAACCACGAAGACTAGAGTCTTACTTATCTTCAGGTGGAAAACAACAGCTCAAGGTTGGCGAAGATGCTGCCTTTAGAAGGTCTTAAATTCACCCCTAGAAATCATCCTGGTTTTCATTCAGCATTAACTGTATTGTCCTAGCTGGACCAGGGTGGTGGTGTTTTCTAAGGGAACCTCTCACATTGCCTCCATGAAAAAGATGATACAGCTGGAGAGAAGCCCATTTCAAACTCATGGGTTACAGCTGGAGTCTCCAAGTTTGTGAAAAAACCACCCAAGGCCACAGAAAGGGTCTGATGGTGGAAGGTGGTGCTTGGAAGGATGGCCATCATTTTCACTGTTCACATCTGGAGGGGCAGCTCATCAGAAGAGAGACAAGAGACATGTATCAAGTTCTATTTATTGTGGAAATCTGCAAGGTTGTTTGGACAAACAACAATGAATGAGGAAAGAGAGGGAAGGACCAATCTACTGATCTCACTCTTCAAGTCCCACCCATTCTAATTTAATTACACCCACTTAAACCCGCCCTATCCATCTACAGCCACACCCCCTTTTTTGGAAAGTAAGCTATGGAATCTTGGTCCAGTCCCATCTCACCGTATCCATAACTGAACTCCACACAAATATGGTACTGCCCCTTATCCGTATCTCTGAAGACATAGATGGCCAAAGTGAGGAAAATATGGGAGACACGGACCTTTGGACTCCTGGTAAAATTCTATTAGTGAGGCCAAGTGATTGCATGACCTGGATTTTTATCTGTCCTTATAGGAGATTGACTTTGGCTACTACCTGTTTACAACCAGTTATTCCAAATTCCCGCCCTGCCTTTTCATAATAGCTGAGTTGGCCAGCTAAGTGTTCAATGTGACTTGGATTTGGGTAAATCCCTTCACTCATCATCTCCTCATAGAAGCAGCTCAAGATGTGGGTTTTCTCCAACAACCCAAATGGAATAATCTCCGCCCATGTCCAAAGAGGGTGGACGTGACTCAGGATGGGGCGAAGAGAGGTTTGTAGCTCTTCCATTTTCCTCTGGGGGTGGAACGGGTCACTGGAGATGTTCTGGAGAAAGTGATTTGTGATCTCCTCCCCCCCCAGGTTGCTGATGAGGATGTACACGGCATTGAGGTACTCGTTGGTTTGGTTCGTCTGGAAAAACCCACCAAGGGTCTCCAGCAGAGCTGCAGGCATGGACTCTACCTCATCCAGAATAAACAACGGGATGATCTCCTCAATTTCAGCTTTGGCTACCATGTCTCCAATTGTCTCTGACAACTCCAGTTGGCATGTGGAAATGGATGCTTCATTCGGGCAGTGATGCATCTTGAAATAATGAAGCACAAAATGGGCTCCAATGACGGACCGGAAGTGCTTAGCTAGAAGCCTTCCGATGTGGCTCTTCCCAACTCCACTTGGGCCATTGAAGGAGATCACCAAAGGTTTGTTATGGACGTGGGTGGCCAAGTAATCTTTCAGCAATCCCATGATCCTTTCAATTACAAAGGGCTGCCCAAAAACCTCCCGGGCCATGGTCTTCTCTAACCCATCCAGGTCGTATTTCATGAGGTTATCGTCCAAGTTCTCAATGGCGTTGAGGATCTGGAAGCAAATGATGGCCATGAGCAAGAGGAGAAACCTCTTCGCTTTGCTCTTGTGCTCAGTTGGGAGATATTTTCTGGAGCTTTCTGGATACAGCACTCGGGGATTCCTCGCCTTCTTTTTTCGCCGGCTGGGTTTAGTCACAGGGAGCGGGGCTGAGGGGTCAAAAGTAAAGTACTGGGAATTGTTCAAAGTAGCTTGGTTGGAGGCACTGCCTAACTTGGGTTTGCCCAAGGAAAGCTGCCGCTGGAGAAGTTTGACCTGAGTGTCCCCAGGCAAGAAGCCTTTTTTAAGCATGTGGGCCGTCCTCCGAAGACGAATCACGGCCCGCACTGGGGAGGACAACAGAGAAAGCTTCTGGGGGCTTTTCAAAGGAGACTTTCGGCCTTCCATCGTGACTTCTTCCTGCTGATCAGCCTCTTCTGTGAAGAGCAAAGGAAACGAGGGGAAAAAGTTATGGGAGGAGTGGGTTAGAGATGTCCTGCTCAGCCACTAACCAACCTCCCCTGATCAAGCGGTTGCAAGGCTAACCTTGCATAAGTTTGCTTTAGGAGCTCTTGAGATGAAAAATGGGGTTCGCCTTAAAATGGGGCAATCGATCAGAGCTTTTCCCTATCCCCTAGCAAATAACGCCCATGTATGAATAAAAATGCTAGTTTCAAAAGGAAAGAATGTGATTCTGTTTCGGGGCTGCCCTGTTGGAAGGAGGTCTGCTCTGAACACTGACTCAGTGTGAATTTTGCTGCATTTCTTTTACCAAGAACATTTCTTTCTTCCTTTTTATCATTTTCATGAAAATATTTTTTTACAATAATGAAAGACAAACCTACAGTATCCATTTAGAGTAAGGAAAAAGAGTGACGATAGCTATAACCTCAGTTAGGGAACGAAGAAAGTAACTAGAGAAAAAAGAAAAAATACATAACGAAGAGACTTCCGACCTTCTTTACAGCAGTTACAAATGAAATTTTCGCCTCTCCTCCCTCTTTAAGATTACATCATAATTCTCTTCTTCCCATATTCTGCCCCTCCTAATCATCAAATCCATAAGTCAACAATTCTTTTTTTTCCTCGTTTTCAGCAGGAAGTCTATAACGGGTTTCTCATCACTAATAAATGTACTTTTTGTCTTTTCCCTAATCAACCAAATCAACCCTGCCATTTCTGCAAATTCTGTCATCTTCACCCGCCGCTTCTCCGTTGTGGGTATTTCAGAATCAGCAGGCAGGCTCTTTCAAGCATGGATGAGTTTTGCTCTCTTATGTGACGTGAGAACAACGGAATAACTCACTGATAATCAACGCTGAGAAAAGGGCAAAATGACATGTCCTTCCTTTTTTTTTTTTTTAATTGTTTTTATTGAAGAAGTTTTCAACAGAATTAAAAACAGTGGAACTGCCGACTTCAGAATACCAACCGGGTGGACTGTGGGATGGAAAGGGTTACACCGTTTCTACCCACCACACCTGCAGGTTTTTCAAGGTCGTGGGCAGGGAATAATCTCTTTCAGAAGTCTGGCCTTCCTGCTGAAGCAACTTCTCCAGTCTGGGCCTGGAATGGGCAACCTTTCTTTCAAACGAGATGTACCTTATTGTACAGCAGCACCATCTCGAGGCTAACAATTTCAGGAGCGCTTTCTCACGCCCGTAAGATCAGGTAACACAGGCCAACCGGCTTGGGCTGCAAACATCTGGATGACCATTCAGTGGTCTTCGCTGCCACCTGGTGGTCATCTGTATTTCTGCAGCCCAGATATGGTAGCTCGGGGATTAGCTGGATGCTAAGACCAACATTTGGGCAGGGCTGATACTGTTTCTCAGATGTTCTTCCCCTGCAAGATGGGATCTCTTTTCCTATTTATTCTCAGGATCTGATTTCTTTGGGATTTCTCTTGCGATCTTTCTCAGCTGACCTTCTTGGTGGAGGGCACCAACATTGGTGGGGTTGTTTTCTGGGAATCCTTTCTCCCTCCTTCAAACACCTCCTGGGCTGCTTATATTGTCCACTCTGAAAAAAACCCATGGAAGGGATTTCTCCATTATATCTTCCATCTTCTCTTGGGATTGAATGGAAACATGGGAAACTGCAGAAGGCTGGATTTCTGCTCCCCATCTCTCAACCGTCTGCAGCCTCCCTACCTATACCACTCTAGGATACCACCCTGTATCCCGAAGCCTCTCTTTGGGATTGAATAGAAGGGTGGGAAGCCAGGGAGGCTAAAGAAAGCTGGAGAGAAGATTTCTGGTCCCCATCTCTCTATACCTCTGTGGCCTCCCTGGCTTATCCCCTTCTGAATCTCAAGAAGTCCAACAAGACAATTTCTGACCTGAGGTCTCCCCTTGGGATTGAAGGGAGAGTGGGAAGCCAGAGAGGACTGGAGAGATGACTGTCTATTCCCCATCTCTCTATTCTTCTGCAGCCTCCCTGGCTGCTCACCCTTCCTCCTCTGAAGAAGCCCCATGGAAGAAGCTGTAGCCTGTGGTCTCCTCTGGGGACTGAATGGAAGGGAAAAAAGTCATGGAGGCTGCAGATGGCTGGAAAGAGGTCAGGGCAAGGAAAAGCAGGATGTCCAGACAGATGCCCCTCGGCCCCTCCTCGCTAAATAATTGCAAGGACACCCCACTCTATACATGAGAATTGATCTGAAATTCTCTTCTCCTCTGCAGGACATTTCAAAGCACATTCTCTTTCCTCCGACCCAACAGGATTGAGTGTAGTACAACTCCAAAAAACACCAAAGCAGCAGCGGGATTTTTTGCACCACGCTAATTGAAAGGGCAGGTCCCCCACAGACCTTTGAATAAAGGAGGTTAATGCCAGCAAAAGAGGGGAAGGATTTTGCTTTCATCCTGCCCTCATGATTTCCAAGTAAACAGAACAATGGATTACGCCAGTGTTTCGATCTGAGTCTGCCAAGCTCACGTCTGCACTTCTTGACATTCGGATGCTTCTGAATTAAAGTTCCCACCCATTTTTTTCCTGCATATCAGAAGAGGCTTCCTGTTCCTGTTAGGAAGAAAGTGCTGAGTGGGTACGAGGACTATTTTTCACTGTGCCAGTCAGACCCTGCAAAGCTCACATTTTATGAGAACGTGCTCCTTTGTTTCACCTAGGACAGCCCATAGTGAATGGAAAGTGGAAGGATAAATAGAAAGAAAATAGCGTATTTTCTCTTTCCAAGGTGGCGAAAATGCTACTAAACTGTTGGGCCACTGCTTGACATTGAGAGGCAGTGATTTGGGAACCATGAAAAAGGATTTGTTTCTACCTGCAAGGTGGCATGCAACAAGAGCCAATAGCTTCTTAAATGGCTGGTTCGGACAAATTCGCAGGTGTGAATCAGAGACCATGAGCAAAGCAAAGTTACAATGGAACCTCCATAGTCAGAGGCAGCTGAACCCTGATTCTCAAATGCTTGCACCGCTCAGAGGCTCGCTTCTTCTTGCTTTCCAGGTACGCTTTCGTGAAACATCTAGCGGGATCCATTGTGGGGTAACAAACCATGGGCTGAAAGGGGTGAGGCCACCCCGTTCTTTTAGGAGACATCCTGGAAGTGTTTGTCCTCAGACGAAGTTCCCTGTTGTCCCTCTGCATGAGTTGCTGGGCTGGCCTCGCCTGCTTTGACTTGAGGGGGGTTCCAGATGGACCAGCTACTCACGAATGGCCTTGCCATTCATGCCAACTCATGATGCCAAGAGGAACGGTTGGATCCCTGTCCTCTAGCATTCCCGTTCATCATTCCAAGCCATAAGTGGGCGTCTTTCAATCAAATGAATTGCTCTGGAAGTGCACGGGCTTGTACCAACAGAGCCTCACACAGACCTGGATCAAGTTAGCAGGTCCCGTGAAAGCATGCGTCAATCTCAGACACCGATTGCATCTTGTAATTATCTGCTAAGAATGCTGTCCCCAATAATTATTAACTTTGATTCCTATGGGGGTTAAGGGCTAGGCGAACGAGTTAGATCTCATTCCAGTCCCACATTGCAACCGTGAACACCCCAGTGCTGGAAGCCAGAAGCCTGTTAGTACAGAAGGAGAAAGGGGCTGGAAAAACGTTCAATTTCATTTCCTCCGAGTTGGGATGGCTTGCAAATTTATTGATTTAAAAGATTTACACGGCCGCTCACCTTAAACGACTCTGGGTGGCTTGCAACCATGGTAAAACCGGTAACTATAAAATGATAAAACGATTCTACCAAAACAAAAACCCTGCGCCTTAAATCATCCCCTTAGTTCCAATTATCCTCATTCCATTCTTTCTATTCTATTCTAGCCTATTGTAGTGCCTTGGTAAAAAGCCAGGTCTTTTTTATGGGGAGGGGGCTCGTTTGCCTACAAAAAGGCAATTGATTTGATTCCCATTTTGTGGCATTTCCCCCTCTCCTCCAGATTGCTTTTTCTGACTTTCTCTTGCAGCTGCTCTTCCTTTTGTGTCATGTGGGCCAGCCCCTCTCTCTCAGCCCTAGGAAGGAGGCAATGGCAAAGCACTTCTGAAAAACTTTGCCAAGAAAACTGCAGGGACTAGTCCAGGCAGCCTCCGAGAATCGGACGCGATTGAACAGGTTAAAAACGAAAAAAAGGTTCACAGGGTTTCTCACTCTTCCCTTTCACCTGGTTTGCAGGACCCAAGATCTCCACCAGCGCTGACTTTTTTTTTTTAACAGGTCCCCCCATGCTAAAACGATGAAGACTGCAAGCATTTTCCCCCCCCCAAGATGTGACAACCTCCAGCACTGTGAGTTCATTTGAAGTTCTACTATGCAAGTTTGTTTTTGTAAGATCATTTCCTTGCGATTTTCCCACTCATCTCTTTGGCCAGAAAGGGATCAACTCTTCATGTGGCTTGTGGGTATTGGAAACGTTGAGTCATTGCCACGAAGGAGCAGAAAAATTCGGTCTAAAACCTGGGTTGCCAGCTTATCTCTCCTGACTCCATTCTTTGAACAGGAGCCTGAAGCTCCTTGAAGCTTTGAACCAGGAGCCTTACAAGCCTCCGTAAAATAGCGGGTGCTTTTTCTGGCATGAGGGCAGAAGTGATGGGAACCATTTTGGCTTGTGTTGATTTTTGCACGCCAGCCTGTGTGGTTAAAGAGAGAAGAGCAGGATTGTGCGAAAGATTAGTAAGCTTCTCCTGGAACTCCCACGTGGAGAAAGAGTTGGTAGAATTAGGACCTGCAAATTGGGTGACCGGTTAGTCCTTTTGCAAAATGGTCTAGCCATCTGCGGGATTCCAAAGAATGGGTCTTTTGCCAGGGAAATTCATTTGCAAATCAAAGAAGAGTGGGAGCAAAGTTCAGCATTTGTTATCAGCCCCCCTATTTCCAAGGAACTGGCTCACAACGAGGTCTAGTAACACGCCCCTTTCTAAAGAATCTATTTCAGATGCAAAGAGGAACAGGAACAACTTTCAGCATGTGTTAACAGCTCGTGAGGTGCCACCACCTGCCTCTCCCATCCCAGAAGGGGAAAAAAAAGGATTCATGTGTTATTTTCCAGCTTATTGTAAAATTACACCGCACTCTTCCAAGGGAAACAAGGGTGACATGGTCAGCATTTACACTTCCTCCCTGTTGTAACGTTTTGGGCTGTAGATGTATCTGCTGATAAAAACAGGTGAGGGTCTTTCTTGGGAAAAAAAACCCTGCCAAATTCAACTGATTTTTGCAGCTGTTAAGGGTGCAGGAGCAGAGGCTTTTGAGGTCATTTGGCAACCTTATGCCCCATGCATGTTCTTCTCCGTTTCTTTCCTTGGAAGAAAAAGGAGACAGTGGGAAGCCAACTCTAAGGGTGACCAAATGAAACCTCTGAAAGTCGCAAATGTTTCCATTGTTTTCTTCAAGCGGTGGCGGGCAATGGGACAATTCTGCATCACGGTCACTTCATTTCCTCAAAAGAGGGCTGGTACCCCACAATCCATGAACGGCATGCAGCCCCTGAACCCTTTTTGGCTGCCTCCAACAATTGTTGAAGCCTGGTGGTGAAGCCACCCAACTGTAAGGTATCTTGATAAATTTCAGCAGAAAACCAACACAAGGCCCCAAAAAACTCCCCACGCCAGCCAAAAGGTAGACAGAATTCATCCCAAATGTTAATCATGATCTTTCCAGAACATCCCCTAAACTTCCTGGCCCGTCCCTCTCATGACATCAAGGTTGGTGGTTGTCTATGAGGTGGTTGCCATCTTTCCCACCAGCCTCCGCTCCTGTGCCCCCTGATCAATAGAACAGGAGCTAGCGGTTACATTCCCCCCTCCCCTCTCTTATTTCTGGTTGCCAGAAACTGAAATATTTAAAACTCCAGCTGATGTCTGCAACAGAAGACTTCCTAAAGGGAAACAAAGCTGCGTCTTGGCCAGGCGGCAGTCTTCCAACCTTAATCCTTCCTGTCCCATTCATTACTCACCTTACAGCCTGCTCCGGACGACCCCACGGACAGAAAGAAAGACGTTACCAAGCATCTGATCTTGGGAGCTTCAGTGGCAGGGGAGTTTCTTTCCTTCTGCACAGGAACACCTCCAATCCCATTGCTCAATGGCTGGGTTCAGGCACACGGCCACAGGCATCTTGGGAGAGCACGGCCATTGGTGCAGAGGCACTGTGACTTGCTTTGATGTGTGTGTGAGAAAGAAAGGCAGGGGAAAATAGCACACTGGGGAGTAGGCTCTGTCTTCCTTCTTGTGCTTCCTCCTCCGGGCACACACGCCTGCAAGAGGTCTTATCTCGGTTCTGCTGCAGCTGAGTTTGGCTGCTGGCCTGAGGGCTGGCTTACCGCTCCGTCTGTTGCAAGAGAAGTTGCACTTACGCGCTCACACACGCGCACACACACACATCTCCTTTGCCAGCAGTTCACTTCATTGGCTGCGTCCAGGCCACACAGGAAACCCAATTCTGATGACGAGGTGGATCGGACGTGCTCGCTGCCTGCCCGCCCGCCACCCCATTCGGCGGCAAGGCTTGGGTCAGACAGAGGCGAAGGAGCGGTTAGAAAGACAGCCAAGAATGCATTTGGTCCAGAATGAAAATGAGAACATTTCTGCAGCAGGCAGAAGCTATTTTCCCTGAGATCTTGAGGTCAGGAAGATTGATCAAGTTTGTTCTGTTTTTTTCTGAAGCATCAGAGTGGCTATCTCAGGTAGTAAGCAAAGGCGGTAGAAGAAACAAGCAAAAATAGTCTGATGATGGTCAACTCCTTTTCCATCCAGTTCCGCTCTTGGGGACTTGGGACCCATCCATGCAATTTCTTTGGCTTTGCCACCTTCCTGAGGCCTCCCTACGTCCCAATGTAGCCTAACCCTCTGGATGATCTGATTGTCTCATCCAAGTACTAATTATAATGTTGGTGGGAATGACCTTGGGAGAGGGGGAGAAGAGACGCTGCTGATCAGATAAGAGAGGACAGAGCCCAGAGCTGCAAAACGGGAAGAGAGAGAAACTCAGGAAGGAACCTAACTTCTCAGGCTGTAAAAGAGACAGCGGGAGATTTGTACTATCAGACTTGCAAGACTGATGTGAGCCTTCCCAGGTCAGACAGGAAACACGACCGGATGAGCTAATTCTACTGTATTGGAAGGCTACATTAACAGAATTTCCACAGCCTCCCCTAACAGTGCAAAGTGTTTTCTGTTTGTTATTTTTTTGGGTAGGAGACCACCAGGAGATAGAGACTAAACTGGGAAACCAACATTCCAAAAGGAATGGCAAAATGCTTCTGTATGGATGCGTAGAAATCACCAGGTATTGAGCAGTATGGCGGTGCTTAGCAATCTCCTATGGAAAATTATAGATGACAGTAGGCAGAAAGAAATACACACAGAAGAAAGCCATCAACTCTTTTGTATGGTCCCAATGTGAATGACCGGTGTGAGGTGAAAGGGCCGGCAGATCCCAGTTGAAAGTTAGGAGAAACTTTCTCCTATTAAAAAGAGTTTGATACTGGAACTAATGTTAGGTGGAGACCCAGCTCTCTGGAGAAGGCTCTGATGCTGAGAAAGGTCAAAACAAAGAGGAGAAAGACCAGCAAGGTGGATGGATTCAGTTACAGAGGTGATGTGAGCACCATTAAAAGACCTGAAGCATCATGTTGGGGACAGATTGTCCTGGAGGAAGTCTATGTGGTGGCCAGGAACTGATGCTGACTTGATGGGACATAATCAACCAACCAATCAATTGGAACCAACGACCAAGAGAGCTGGTAGATTCCCCTTTGCTGGATGTGTTCGAAGAGAGGCTAAGCAGCCATCAATCAGGGAGACTTTAATTCAGATTCCTGCACTAAGAAAGGGGTGGACTAAATGCTCTGAAGTTCCCGTTCCAACTCGATGGTCATTGGGACATCTGGGTGGACCTTCAGGATTTACCCATTAATAGATGCTTCGTCAACTGCTCTGCTACCAAAAAGACTAGTTTCCCCCCCATCCCATCCACCTCCCTGTGCTGTTGTGCAAAAGATCCTCGGACTGTGGTGCCCCACAAGTCAACAGGTCATCCCTCCACTAAAGACATGGCTATAGGAGGAAAGGGAGAAGTTGGCGATCCTACCAGAACCAGAGAACCAGCTCATCAGGCTGGTGGGAGGTAGAAGCAGAATGCTTTTGTGGAAAAGGGAAAGGCAAGGAAAAGAGGAAGCCTAGTTGGACTTTGGAAAACAAAGGATAAAACTAGCAAATAGAAATCTAACAGGTGAAGCCTGGTCAGTTATGATTTAATATGCAAGTAGTTGAATATTGTTGCAAGGACAACCTGTCAGACAGCTTGTGTTGCTGTGGTGGTTTCTCCTTCTCCTTCTCCTTCTCCTTCTCCTTCTCCTTCTCCTTCTCCTTCTCCTTCTCCTTCTCCTTCTCCTCCTCCTCCTCCTCCTCCTCCTCCTCCTCCTGATTTCTATCCTCATATTGGCCTGACTTGCACATTTGCTTTGGGTGTGAACCCGGACATCAAACTTTTACAGCTTAACTCAGCAATTGAGACCAACCGTCATTTTGAACATCAAAGCTAAGCTAGGCAAGAAAAAACAGATATTCTCAAAGCCATCACCTAAGTTCTTAGCAATGAAAGCCCAAGTCTCCCCACACAAGTTCCAAAATCCAAGTCATATAACTCTGTCTCCTGATAAGAGAAAAAAGGGAACCGACAGTTTGATCCAAGGGTTGTCAACTTTTTGAACTGGTTGATGCTCCCCTCCCATCTCCCTTTGAAGAGGAACCTTTCTTAAGAGCGCCTGCTTACTCACCAGTGGAAGGGTCTCCTCTATCCAGGGGGTGCAGCTCCATCGATGACGGTCCTCAGCTTGCCTTGTGGGACAAATGCTTGTCTTTTTCCAGACTGTGCTTCTAACCCTGTCAGCCTTGGAGTTAGCAGCATGCAAATTTGCTAAGGGAGCTTCAACAATGGACAGATATGTTCCCTCTTTTGCATATCCATCGTAAAGGTAAAGGCCGAGAGGGAAAAGAAAAAGAATGGCAAAATGTGGAGCAAGAGAGGGAGAGGAAAATGCCATTTTAGAGGTGATCAAGTATATCTGAGGCCCTTAAAAAGCTTCTTTTGGGGGCCCCTCCAGAGACCCTTGGAATGGGATCCTTGAAAGTGGGACACGTGATTTCGAACTCATTCAAGTGACCTGAACGTGAAATCTAGTAGGAAAAAAAATCTTCTCCATCCGCTGCCTTCATCACCCTTCTAAAAAAAGGGTTAAACTTCCCCACCACTGCCCCTTAATACTGGTGCCATGAGATCTTAGGACCACTGGGAACGATGGCAGTTGTAGCCCGTCACATCTGGAGGGCTGGTGAGGACTCGTAACAAACACAACTCCCAAGGGTCTGGATTTCTGCAGCCCAAAGGACAAGGGAGCCATTGCCCAGATTGGGGCAAAAATGGGAGTTTATTTATCGTATTTATATAGCCGCCCATCTCACATAAAAGTGGTTTGAAGGGTCTCCTTCCTTCCTTCCTTCCTTCCTTCCTTCCTTCCTTCCTTCCTTCCTTCCTTCCCAAAGTCAATCTTCCTTCCTCCCTTTC